TTTTTTTTTTTTTTTTTTTTTTCTTTAATGAGAGAAAATCTTGCTGTGTTACCCAGGGTGGGCTTGAATTTGAAATCCTCCAGCCTCAGCCTCCTGAGTAGCCCATATCACAGTTTTGTGCTGCCATACCAGCTTATTATTTCCTTTATATATTTTTTTCTACATTAGATCATCCCATCTAGGATATACATTGAATTTAATTGTTGCCTCTCTTTTTTTTTTCTCCTGAATTTGGAGCAGTTGCTCCACCATTGTCTCTTATTACATTGAATCCCCACACCCGTTACCAGGTTTAAACTCAGCGTTTTCACATTAAGCTACACCACAGACCCGCAACCCTGTTTGAAACAGGGTCTCCCCAAGTCACTAAGTTGCCCAGGCTGGCTTGGATTTGTGTTCCTCCTGCCATAGCTTCCCAGAGTGTTGGTATTATAGGCATGCAGAGGCACACCCAGCAGACTTTGATGGTTTGGGTGCACAGTGGCTCCCTGTCACCATCCTGGATTTTTTTGGTGTTTGATTCTGATGAGACCTGGGTGTGTGTTCTTACACAATTGCACAACAGGCCTTCTTGGTGTCCCACTGGACTTCTCATGGCAGTGTTGATGTGACTATTCAGTTGGAGCTATCTCGTTTCTGGGAGACAAGGTAGGCTCTGTGGATATCCTGCTGCTTCCCATCAAGTGCCCCGGCATCAGCCCCCTCTGGAGCTCTTGTCTGTACCTTCTTACACTGAAAGCTTCAAGCTTCAGAGAACAACCCCCAAAATGGCCTGATCCTCTGTCAGCCAGTGTCCATACTCTCGTTCTAACTATATTCTTATTTTATTTAAATTATATTTATCTGTTTCTTATTGGAGCGGACTCGGAGTTTTTTTTTTATTTTTGTTTTGTTTTGTTTTTTTCGATACTGGGGATCGAACTCGGGATCGAACTCGGGACCTTGTGCTTGCAAAACCAGTGACAGAACCACTGAATCCCTGGCTATTCTTATTTTTTTAAATAGCTTATGATTATTTTCTCTTTTTAATTACCCAGTGTTCATATTATCCCAAATTTGGCCAGTGGGAGTCTGTTGAGCCATCTCCTGTCTTCAGGGTGTGACCTGTCATCTCAAAACCTCTCACCCACAGATCCACACATTCCAGGCACACCCGGTGCCTCCTAGCCCCATGGAGACCAGAGCTGTGGTCCCCAGCATCTGGGCAGACAGAGCAGAGGATGTGTGAACAGCTGTGCTGCTCACACACTGTGCACATACGATGTACACACCCAGACATATATGCCCAGCACACATGCATGTGCGCACACATGTGTGTTCACAGGCACAATCTCCCTTTAGAAGTCTTAGGTTTAGACCAGTCTCTTCCCACCATGTTCTTGCTGCCCTCTCCGCATCACTGAATAGGGTATGAGGAGATCCCTCAAGCTGAAATAAGGAACCTAACCCACACTTTTTGTAGAATAAGTTTGCAGGATTGCTGACTTCCATGGGGGAAAAAAAGGAATTTTCAGGATTAGTCATAAGAGGCATGGGAGGGGTTTTATTAGGTAGAAATTAAAAGGTTCACACTCAAGGAAATAGAGTGCAGGGCCTCAAGGGGGAGAGGGGCACATTATGAGCTAGAGCTGGGTATATGTATGGGGTCTTGGAGGCGTCTCCTGAACTACGCTGAGTAATCTTACTATCTGGCAGGTTAGTGGTCTGGCAGGCTGTCAGAATGCAAGCCATTTTTGGAGTTGAGATTTGCTGCTTCCTTGAGCATGGAGGAAGCACCATTTACAGGTGAAAAGGACAGGTCCAGTGTCCAATTTATAGGCTTATGTGTCTTTAAGACTTTTAGGTATTTTTTTTTTTGAGTGAGCTTTCTAGAAGAGAAAAAAGCCTAAATAACTTTTATGTCCTAAAGCCATAAGAGTTTTTGTTTTATAAGTACAAATTTAAAAATCTAGATTTCCTTGTCTCCTTTTTTGCCTATTTTAAATTTTTTTCTATCCTACCTCACCCCCTGCCCATGACTGCTGCCCTTGAGCCCTGAGTGCCCTAGAGCTGCACCCCCTCGCAGAAGGCCAGCATGTGCCAGTGAGGCGGGGTGAACAGATTTCCACCGTTCCTCACTGGGGACAGGGGTCACTTTCGGGAGAGTTAGAGCCATAGTCAGTGCTGAGTGATTTTCATGCGCTTAGGAGTTACTATTCTCTAGCTTCCTAGGGCTTAAACAGCTTAGTTTAAGGGAGAGCTGTGTTACCAGGAAACAACAAGACAATTTAAATGCCTTGATTTTATCTTGTGGTGTTCCTGCCAAAAATAATTAAGTTAGCCTCAGCTCCCAGACAAATGCCTGCAGAAGGCTGGCCAGACTTTACCCAGAGCCCCAGGGGGGCTGTAGCCTGGGCTCTGCTTGTCTGCCAGGCACAAGCTCTGGGACCTCATGGTGTAAGATTCCAGAGGGTCCCACCCTATGTCCAGCCCAGAGGATCCCATTCTTTAAGTGGGGCCTGAGCCTTGCACCTGCCCCTCTAGCCAGCTGTCCACTGGCCTTAAGGGCATCTCTACCCTCACTTCTGCAGGCCAGCAGCACTTCCCAGGTTAGCAGGGCTGCATTCCTGCCCCATGTGGCCTGGAACCACACACACACACACACACACACACACACACACACACACACACACCCGCCTAAGGACAGTAGTCAGCAGCCTCAGGGTGGGCCCGCATGAGAGGGACAATGGCATTTGTGGTATGGGGAGGAGCAGCCTCAAGGTTGGAATACCCCAGTGTGCTGCTCTTGAGGACCTGAGGACTAAGAGGAGATACAGTGACCCTAAGGGCTAGTTTGTGACAAAAGAATGTGTTCCTGTTCCTGAATCTTCATTGAGCCCAGGCAGATATAGTCCCTCAGTCCACTTGGCCTTCCCTGTAGTACTTTGTGATGCAGCTTAGAAAGGAGAGAGCAATGACCTTGGCTGGCTTCTTTGTGCCCAGGGCTCTCAGGCTTTCTGTGATTCTCATATGGGTGCTTTTGCCTGTTAGATCCAGATTGCCATGTGCCATGGAGAAAGAAATACAGGCTTTGGAAGTGGAGAGACTGAGGTTCCTGGCTATACTGCTTACTAAAGTCTTGGATGATCACAGCCTTCGTTTCTTCTAAGTAATATGCATAGTGTCTACCTTGGAGGATTATTGAAAGACTCACACATTAAACAGTTTTTTTTTGTCTTATTCCTTGTCTGCTTCATTCTACCTCTCTGTCAGAGCTAAAAGTTAAAAACATCAGGTCTCCAATCTTTGCATGCCTGGAGCACCTGTGTGACCCACTTTTCAAATGGGGATGAGGGGGCGGGTGGTGGTAGATGTCTCTCATGTGACTGGATGCTCATGATGAGGGGCCACCCCGCCTCTTCCCTGTGATTTGAGGTGGAGGGCCTCCTGTCACCAGCACTGAGGTCAGAAAGGGAACTTGCAAGCATTTTTCCTGTCAGAATGTCAATCTGTCAGGTTTATGGCCACGGTCCCTGGGCACTGCTCTTGGCTGTGTCCCTGTGCTCCCTGAAGGAGCACCATGTGTGCACCACGTCACAGTGCACAGGATACTGGGGCAGAAGCATCTCAGGCCCTTGCCCCTGCACAGTGATGTTTCCACTCTTGCAGATTTGACTAAGTAAACATGGCTCATGTGGAGGGAGGAATACGCCAGTGTCCCTTTGGCAGCCACAGTCACCCTGAGGATTCTTCAGATCAGAGCCACATATAGACACATTTGATGCCCGAGGTGGTCCTCCACCTGTGCTAGGCCTGTTGATCTGTGGGGACGGACCATCCTGGAGGAGTCTGCCATGTGTTGCTCGTGCTCACAGCTTGTGGGATGCACGGCACCAGAGGTCACTGCTGAGTCACAGTTGAAGACCATTCTGTGGGAGATTTGCACTCACAGTGATTAGGGCCAAGAACTGGGGCATCTCCCAGCTGTCAAAGCCAGGCCTGCCCTACCCACCATCCTGCAGCGTTATGCCCACCAGAACCTTGGAGCAAGGGAAGAAGAGCAAGGCTCCAGTTCTCTGCCCAATTTGGTCTAGGAGCCACCTGCTCTCTTTCCATATGTTTTCTTCTTCTTTTTGGGGGGTGGGGGTGTTGGTTTGTGTTTGTTTTGAGACAGGATTCTTTTTTTTTTTTTTTT